ACAATGGAAGAAGAGGAGGACAGTGGGAAGTCAGCAACTGCAGAACCGGACACCGGAGAAAACATAACAGCTCCAGCAACTAGCAGGGGGAGTCCCGGCCCTGCAGTTGGCCCATGGGGAGAAGTTCTAACGCCAGATGAAGTAGCCGCAAGCGGATGGGATGCCATCCCGACATCGAAAGAAGGCGGCGTCGCCACCACAACGGAAGCAGGCATTGTCGCTGGAGGAGGCTAGGGAACCTCAACCGAAGGAAGATGGGGACAATCAGCTCCCGCCTATCCTGAAGCTCCGGGACTTCCCCCTGCGGAAGTTGCGGCAGTCGATCCGTACTAGGCAACTCGCGGTACTAGCTGGGGCGGCCCTCCTCTTCCGGACCAGTACGCTCCTGACACACTAGAACCAGTTAAAGAAGATTCAGAAGAAAAATTAATTTATGAGTTCTTCGGGGAAGCAGCGGAACTACTGGAACCTACCGAGGAGCCGCCGTCACCAGAACAAGGGCCTCGGCAAATTGAAGTCATCGGCGACGAATACAGCTACTTTCTCATTCCCATGACAAGAATTCCTGTCTCCGATTGGCCCAAAGCGCCACCATCTTCGTCCCTGCTCGTCACCGGCAAACAAGTTCACGCCGGCGATACCGACGACATCATCGGAATTCCCTGCGCGCTCCTGGAACGAAACTCCGTTCGAGCCTTTGCAGCTGACACTGATGCCGCAACCGACACAGGACCTGAAAAGCAAGAGAACGACGAAGCAGCAAGGCATAAGTATTATCAGAAGACAGTCGGGTACCGTGCGGAACCGAAAACATGGCATCAGCGACTCGAGCACCCCTCACACGCCACACTCAAGAACTCTCTCAAGGCTGGTGTCTTTGATGACGACGCGCTGCTCCTCCCTCACGGAGGCTTCCTCACAGCGGAATCAGCCAACCCGTCATGCACCGTGTGCCCGACTGCGTCATTTGCCCACAAACCCTTTCCCTATTTACCCCCTGGCTACGAACGCTACAAGCCGCTCGACAAAGTCTACAGCGACTTCATGGTTCTCAGCCAAACTGGGCTCAACGGCGAGTTCTACACGCTTACCTTCATCGATGCATGCACACGCTATGTCTAGGCCGTCAACACCGACTGCCGCTCTCTCGCCTTCGAGTGCTTCGTAGCGTGGATGAAGCAGGCTGAACGTCAATATGGACTGAGGCTGAAAACCTAGCAGACAAACGAGGGTTTGGAGTTCTTCTCAACTGAGTTGAAGGAAATCTTCAAGCAGAAGGGGATTGAGCACCTGGTGTCCCTGCCCTACGCTCACGAGCAGCAAGGTGTAGTAGAACGGACAAACAGGAGCCTCGCCACAAGGATGAGGGCCCTGATGAAACACTCAGCCGTGCCAATCAAATACTGGCCGTTTGCAATGAACCACGCAGTCCGGCTACACAACTTGCTGTCCTCCCGAAGCCCCGAGAACAACAACTCTCCCTACAGGGCTTGGACGGGCAGAAAATCGGACACACGCCTGCTTCGAGTGTTCAGCGGCATGGTACAGTACATGCCGCACACAGCTAGGACCGGAAAATTTGCTGAACCGGGCACGCTGGGGCATCCACCTCGGGATCGAAATAGAATACAAGGCGTGGATCGTGCTGGACTACGCGACACACGGAGTCACAAAAACACGTGACTGCATCTTCTACGAGAAGCTGACTCTACCACTGTTCAAGGAGCACCACGAAGCTGACAGGGCACCAGAAATGTTTTTTGAGGGACACCGCAGCTTCGCAACTCCACATGATGAAGCTGACCTGGCAGAAGATGCTGATGCAGCAGATGTCACCCAATTTGACAGCGCACCCAACATTCCCCTTACAAGCTCATTTCAGACTCCGACATTCATACCTGTACACCAATTCGATCCTAACGATACAACTCGTGAAGCACACAACTACAACAGTGCAGCGCGCCGATCACCAGATGTCGAGTTACCACCAAACACCTCGCAAGACACCCTCCGCCTCGGCAACGACAGCGACGACGACGTCGTCGAAGTAACCAGCTTCCACGACTACGATCGCCTCCACTTCGAAAAGACCAACAAAACCGGTCTCCGCATCCTCGGACTCGCCGTCGCTGTTCGCCACGCCTCCCCCAAGGAACCTACCAGCGTTCGCCAAGCCTTGTCTGGCTCCGACAGTGAGAAATGGAAGGCAGCCATGGCAGCGGAAGTCGAGGCACTGAAGAGCCGCGGAACGTGGAAGCTGGTTCCACGATCCTCAGCGAAGGGGAGAAAAATCCTCAGCGGCAAATGGGTCTTTCGAATCAAAACACTTGCAGATGGCTCCATCGACAAGTACAAAGCAAGATGGGTGGTACGCGGCTTCGAGCAAACCCACATGGTGGATTTCGACCTCACCTACGCGATCGTCGGAAGGCACACCTCGGTGCGCATCCTCATCTGCATCGCAGCCGTTAAACAGCGCCCGCTCCGTCAAATCGACGTCGGAAGTGCATTCATGTACGCTCCCGTCGACGCCATCATCTTCGTCGAGCAGCCGCATGCCTTCGAGGACGCCGACGACGCCGTCTGCCTCCTTAAAAAATCCCTCTATGGAATCAAGCAGGCGCCTCGACTGTGGCAGCAGTACCTGCACACCGTCCTGACGGAGCTCGGATTCACTCAGCTGTCACATGATCTCGGAATGTACCGCAAGGAGTCGCGTGGCAAGTTTATTCTCCTTGTCGCCTACGTCGACGACCTACTCTACACCGGCGACGACACGGAGCTGCTGGATTGGTTTGAGGCAGATATCAAGGAGAATCTTGAAGTGACCATCAACCACAACGTCACACAATTTCCGGGCCTCAACATCACCCAAACCGCCTCCTCCATCCACCTCTCCCCACTAAATACGCGGAAACACTAGCGAAGAAGTTTGTCGTTGTCAACGGGAGTTGGGTGTGGCCCCATCCTCGCTTGGGCTGTGCCAACCTTGTGGTCGGGTGTACGGGGGAGTGCAGCCGACCTGCAGCAGTGGGCGAGCTGATCGACGAGGATGGTCGACCTGCGTGGGGGCCACTGCATTGGTGCCGACTTCTGGGTGCCGACTTTGGGGTGGTCGACCTGGTGGTTGACCCGATCTGGTGGTCGACGGAGGAGGGGCCGACGTCGACCACGACAGGGGGGACGTCGAGCAGCATGTCGCCGAGTTGAAAGGCACTGACTTTGGGATGACAACTTGGCAACGCCAACCTGGGGAAGCCGACGTGGGTGGTCGGCTGACAGGTGTGCTGGCTGACCTGGAGTTGGCCGACCAGGAGTGAAATCGACCTGGTGTGGTCGACTGAAGGTGGTCGTCGACTAGGGAGGTCGACGGGCACAAGGAGAAGTTGGTCGACGAGACGGTTGCCCGATCGACCAAGTTACCCGGGCGACAAAGTTCTACAGAGGCACGCGACAGTCGCCCAGGTGTTAGTGGCGAGGTCGACCTCGGTGTGGTATCCCGAGGTCGACGTGGCTGATCAGGTGCAGTCGTCAGCGCTAGGTTGATTTGGTGTGTGCGTTGTGCAGGTGACAAGGCACGGCGCACCAATCATCTGCGAGCACCTACGAAGTAGGTGCGCTGCTATTCTGCGGATGCAAAGTTGGCAGGCCGTCGACTTGCAATGTTGGCAAGCCGCAACTTTGCACCACTGGAGCGCGGTCGACCAAGTCGTGCTGGAACGCGGTCGACCATGCTGCGCTGGCAGTCGACCTGCTTGCATGCTAGCTCTGATGTAGTCTTGTCTTGCCAACTTGGTTATACCATTGTTCTCGACTTTTGCTAATGAAACTCTTGCGGTTTTGCCCTGTGAATGCATAAGTGCTAGAGATTGACTAAGAGAACGAAAGCAGAGATCCCTCCTACCCCGTGCCTAGCCCGTAGTCTAGCTCCCGTTGATAGAGTTATCTGCACGTTACTCACGTTACTCACGTTACTCACGGGCACTTCACGTTACTCTGCAACAACCAGAGGGTGATCAAGATCGCGAACATGCCCAGCTTCGTGAACCGCACGAAATACATCGCACTCCATTACTTCTTCGTTAAAGATGAGATCGACAAAGGCAAGGTCAAACTCACGTATTGCCCAACTTGTGACATGGCAGCAGATTTCTTGACCAAGACGCTGCCACGTCAGAAGTTTCAGCACTGCACCAACCTCAGCGGGATCTCGAAGAAATCCCACGTTTCTCACCTTCAGGAATGAAGGGGAGTGTTGGAATAACCGAAAGGTCAAAGTAACATTCCCGAAGGATCTCCACTCACGCGTCACTTCATAACAAAGCAACGCATCTGTAGTAGTACCGCAATAGCTCATATAGAGCATGCGGAAGATTGAGAGTCACCCGAAGGTCAACAGTCGCTGTCAGTCAACGGTCGCGACTGTTGACCGTCCGGCAACCGCATCAGAGGTTACGCGATGCAATATGGTAACTGTCGAGAATGGCAATAGTCAAAATTCCTGTAGCTATGCAATACAGTTAATAAGGGAATGTACCCCTCATAGTACATGGCTAGCTAGTTTGATATTTATACCCTTGTATCTCTATCTCATAATCATCTTGTTCTCTTTCAACTTTTACTAACAAGGTCATTACAAAGACTTCATTGTGTTCTCCTAGACTTAGCAGACTTATTCTACCCACTACGATCCTTCATTAACACAACAGATGTTGTATGGAGACAAGGTACCACAATTCAAAATCAAACGTTTCATACGCACCCACCCATTTGTCAGTAGATCTGCACTGTGGATGCCCGATTGATCCTAGGGGGGTTACAGGCGCGTTCGCCTGGGGGGTTATGGGCGCACAAACCTGCTACATAAACAAGCCCTTTTGTCCCAATGGTCTAGTGGTTGGGATTCTTGTCAGAATCACTGTGCAGGAATGATTGGATTAGCAAGAGTTGGGGTACAAGTACTAACCCTAGAAGTGCTGTACCCCATAAGGAGTGCCCCACTATAGCCTACAAGTGAGATTGTACTTTGACACACCCCCATAGGCTAAGTGGGGGACAATAAGATGGACATAAGACCAGTAAAGCAAGACAACAGAGCAAAGCAAAGCAAAGCAAAGCTCAGGGTGGATCTCAAGGACACCACACAATCTGAGCACAAGCAAGCGGCCACAAGGCCAGCTCACATGCAGAGTTATAATAGCAAGGCAGTACACTGATCACAACCTAGCAAGAGTAAACAAGCAGGTATAAAGATATATATCAGTGTACAACAAGAGCAAGTCAAGCAACCAGCAGGTGAGGCAGAGTGGGCACAAGCCCAAGAGCAGTGCAGAAACGCTGATGATCACCAGACCCAAGGGCCTTGGTGAACACATCAGTAGTGGTGGCCCGCGAGGCCACGTAGGAAAGGCGGAGCTGACAACGCTGCTGCAGCTCACGCGCAAGGAAGTAGCAAAGAGCAATGTGATCGTTCTGTGCTCCAGTCTCTGCTCGTGACACAAGGCAAGCGTTGCCTTGTTGTCGACGTACAAAACTGGAGGAGAACGAGGCCGCTCGCCCAAGTTGGTCAGCAGGTAGGTCAGCCAGCGTAGCTCTTGTGCAGCATCTGCGCCAAACTCAAACGCATCCCCATCTGCGCCAAACTCAAACGCATCCCCATCTGCGCCAAACTCAAACGCATCCCCATCTGCGCCAAACTCAAACGTATCCCCATCTGCGCCAAACTCAAACGCATCCCCATCTGCGCCAAACTCAAACGCATCCCCATCTGCGCCAAACTCAAACGCATCCCCATCTGCGCCAAACTCAAACGCATCCCCATCTGCGCCAAACTCAAACGCATCCCCATCTGCGCCAAACTCAAACGCATCCCCATCTGCGCCAAACTCAAACGTATCCCCATCTGCGCCAAACTCAAACGTATCCCCATCTGCGCCAAACTCAAACGTATCCCCATCTGCGGGGGGCACCTGGCGGAGACCGTAGACTGGCCTGTTAGAACATTATAGCTTATACATTTTGTAGGCTGTAGTGGGGTAGCCCACAAGGGGTACAACCCAATTAGGGTTAGTACTTGTACCCAACTGTTTGCTAGCTCATTCATTTCTCGTTCGTTACTTTCACATGGAATCAGAGCAGGTTCCTTGGGCCCACCACCTGCTACGATGCGAGTACCCCCCCCTAGGCCCGTCGCTCCTAGCCTTCGCGGCCCGTCGGCCCCTAGCCCCGCGCCCGGTCCCGTTCCTAGCCTGCGCCCGGCCCGTACCTAGCCCGCGATCGGTCCATTCCTAGCCCGCAACCGGCCCGTCCCTAGCCCGCGACCGGCCCGTACCTAGCCCGCGCCCGGCCCCGTCTCATGCCCGCGCCCGGCCCGTACCTAGCCCGCAACCGGCCCGTACCTAGCCCGCGATCGGCCCGTACCTAGCCTGCGCCCGGCCCGTACCTAGCCCGCGCCCGGCCCCGTCTCACGCCCGCGCCCGGCCTGTACCTAGCCCGCGACCGGCCCGTACCTAGCCCGCGACCGGCCCGTACCTAGCCCGCGCTCGGCCCCGTACCTAGCCCGCGCCCGGCCCGTACCTAGCCCGCGCCCGGCCCGACCCTCGCCCAGCGCTCGGCCCCGTCCCTTGCCCAGCGCCAGGCCCCGTACCTAGCCCGCGCCCGGCCCGGTCCCTAGCCCCGCCCGGCCTTGTACCTAGCCCAGCGCCCGGCCCCGACCCTAGCCCGCGCCCGGCCCCGCCCCACGCCCAGCGCCCGGCCCCGTACCTAGCCCGCACCCGGCCCGGTCCCTAGCCCCGCCCGGTCCAATACCTAGCCCAGCGCCCGGCCCCGTACCTAGCTCAACGCCCAGCCCGGTCCCTAGCCACGCCCGGCCCCGTACCTAGCCCAACGCCCGGCCCTGTACCTAGCCTGCGCCCGGCCCCGTACCTTGCCTGCTACTGCTACTGCTACGGCCTGGTACTGTCACTGCTGCTACTGCTACAGCTGCTACTGCTTCTCCTACTGCTATCCTGCGTGCTGCACAACTATGGCTTCGCTTCGGGTTCTCGCGTTTGATCATGAGGGCAGACCATTTCAGTTCGACACGTGGCTAGACGACCTGCAGCTGTACCTACTGAGCGATTCTAAGGACAGTGTTTCGCTGTTTGACCTAGCGTCAGGCGCCGCTACTGCCCCTCCCGCTACAGCTGACAGTTCGACTCGCTCACAGTGGCTTACCCGTGACGCTGCTGCCCGCTTAGCCATTTGCAACCACCTGCCATTAGCTGAATGCGCTCATTTTGGACAGCACAGGACAGCGCAGGCACTGTACAACGCTGTAGTCGCTCGCTACTCCTCCCCTGCCACTGCTGCTCTAGGCCGCCTTCTTCTGCCCTACCTGTTCCCCGAGCTGTCCGCCTTTACCACAGTCGAGGACCTTGTTTCCCACCTTCGCGCTAGTGACGCTCGCAACCGCGCTGCCATTCCTGCTGAGTTCCTTGACAGGAACCCGCCCCCGATGTACATCACTCTCTACTTTATAGTCACCCGCCTCCCTGACTCTCACTTCCTCTCTCTTGACCCCACCTCCCTCACTGTTGACCTCCTCGAGCAGCATCTCCTTGCAGCTGAGACTAGTGCAGTTGCTGTAGGTGCTGCTCCTGGCACTCCACGTCCGCCCTTCTTTGAGGGGTGTTCCCCCTCCCCCCTTGCCCCCTCCTACGCCTCTACTGCTGCTGCAGACGTCTCTGTTCGTGAGGACATCGGGGTTGCTTCTGCTAGTGCGAAGCGCCGTAGAAGCAAGGGCAAGGGTGGCAAGGGTGGTGGAGGTGGCAGCGGCGGTGGTGGAGGTGGCAGCGGGAGTGGTGGTGGGGGCAGCAGTCGAGGTGGTGGCAGCGGTGCGACTGGTGGCGAGAGTGGGGGCTCTGGTGGCGGTGGTGGAGGCAGCGGTGGGAGTGGCAGCAGTGGAGGCGGTGGGACTGGTAGCGGTGGGACTGGCGCTCGGCGTGTCGGTTCTGGGGGTGGCCAGCGTCAGCAGCAGCAGCGTCGGAGCGAGACCCAGTCTCCCCAGCAGCTTCGTGAGTGGTTTCTGCGTGGGGCGTCTGGGGGTAGTTGCCCGTATGTCATTTGCACGGGTGACCATGCTGGTCAGACTTGTGGGCGGCTCCACACTCAGCACCGCTGCTTCTCCCGTCTCGACGACGCTTGGCGTGCTGAGTTTGGTGACGACGTCGAGCTCCCTCGCTGGGCAGATCTGCTTAAGTATAGGATTGCTATTTTTTACCTAGACTTTGATGCTATTCTATCTGCTATGTATGCTTTGTCTGTTAGTGCTGAGGGTGACTGTTACCGGTGTATGCCGCCTGACCCAGGTATAGCTACTGCTGCTCTAGGTGCTAGTGAGTCTGGTACTCTCCCTGGTACTGCGCCTGCTGAGGCCTTGCACACTTTCACGGTAGACTCCGGCGCCTCGCGCTGTTTCTTTCGTGACTGCACCACCCTCACTCCTCTTCCTGCACCTGTCCCGGTCCGACTGGCTAACCCCTCCGGGGGACCGGTCGTGGCCCGTTCCTCCACTATCCTCCTGTGGCTGGCGGTTCCGTCTGGCTCACTGTCAGGTCTTCACCTCCCCTCGTTCTCTACGAACTTGGTGAGTACCGCTGCCCTCCAGGATGCGATGGTCACTACCACCACTACTGGGGGTCAGCGTGTGTCGATCTGCACGTGCACACGGACGGGGCGTCACCTGGCCACGTTTACTCGTCGACCAGGGTCGAGTCTGTACACACTCACTACCGAGCCTTCTCAGGTCGCTGCGTCTACTCAGGTGTCTGCGTCAGGTCAGGTAGTCGCCTCTTGCTCGTGTCGCCTCCTGTCGCACCAGACTCTTCTGTGGCACCACCGTCTGGGTCACCCCTCCCTGCCTCGCCTTCCTGGCATGCACTCTCGTCTTCTTGTCTCTGGCCTCCCCAGGTCTCTGCCTCCCCTCTCGCCCTCGCCTGCCCTGCCCTGCCTCCCTTGCGTCGAGGGGCGGCAGCGCTCCGCTCCTCACTCCTCCTCATTTCCCTCGACGACTGCTCCCCTGCAGACTCTCCACATGGATGTGTGGGGCCCAGCCCGCATCAGTGGACAGAGCCGTGAGCGCTACTTTCTGCTGGTAGTTGACGACTACACGCGGTACACCACGGTCTTCCCCTTGCGCACCAAGGGTCAGGTCGTTGATGTCTTGATCCCTTGGATCCGCACAGTCCGTCTCCAGCTCTGCGAGCGGTTCGGCCAGGACCTTCCTGTCCTGCGTCTGCACTCTGACAGAGGTGGTGAGTTCTCCTCCACCCTCTTGCAGGACTTTTGTCGTGGGGAGGGCATTCTCCAGTCGTTCACGCTTCTGGACTCCCCTCAGCAAAATGGGATTGCTGAGCGCCGCATTGGCTTAATCATGGAGGTCGCTCGTACCTCCATGATCCATGCGGCTGCTCCCCATTTTCTGTGGCCGTTTGCGGTCCGGTACGCTGCGCATCAGCTCAACCTCTGGCCCCGTGTTTCCTTGCCGGAGACCTCTCCCACACTGCGTTGGACGGGGGAGGTTGGCGATGCGTCGGTGTTCCGGGTTTGGGGATCTCATGCCTTTGTTCGCGATACGTCTGCGGAAAAACTTTCCCCCCGTGCTATCCCCTGCGTCTTCCTTGGCTTTGTCCCCGACGCGCCTGGCTGGTAGTTTTACCACCCCACCTCGCGCTGTGTCTTCCCTTCCCAGGACATCACGTTTGACGAGTCGGTTCCCTTTTACCGCCTCTTCCCCTATCGCTCTGCCCCTCCCCCGTCCCCGCCGCTCTTCCTTGCTCCCGGTCCCCCTCCGGTGGACCCCCTCCCGCCCAAAGGTCCTGCTCCCTCAGGTGTGTCTCAGGTAGACCCTCTCCCTGGTCCTGCGCCTGTTCAGGTAGCTGTCGACTCAGGTGCTGCTCGAGGTGCTGCGTCTGGGGATGCGGAGCCTGGGGGTGCGGATTCAGAGGGTGCTGAGACTGGGGGTGCTGAGCCTGCAGGTGTTGCGACTGGGGGTGCTGAGCCTGGGGGTGTTGCGACTGGGGATGGTGAGCCTGGCGGTGCTGAGCCTGCGGGTGTTGAGCCTGGGGGTGCTGAGTCGGAGGGTGCGGAGTCTGGAGGTGCGGAGCCTCAGGGTGCTGCTTCGTCTGGAGGTTTTGCTGGTGCTTCGCCGAGATTGTCTCCGCAGCAGTTGCGTGAGTGGTTTGTTCGGCGCCCGCGCCTTCGGAGTGGAGCTTCTGGAGCTAGAGGTGGAGGCACTGGAGTTGCTGTTGGAGCTGGTGTTACTAGAGGTACTGCGACCGCTGGTCCTGGAGGTGCTCGTACCCGGGGTACTGGAGCTGCCGGGACTGGTGGTGTTGAGGGTGCTGGAGCTGGAGACCTTCTGGAGTCTGGTACTACTGGCGCTGGTGGCGCTAGAGCTGGGGGAGCTGGAGTTGGTGGCCCTTGCGCAGGAGGCGCTGGAGCTGGAGGCCCTGGTGTTGGAGGTGCTGGCGCTGGAGGAGCTGGAGTTGTTGACCCTGGTGGCGCTGTGCAGCCGCGACCGTACTTTGTTCCCCTGCTCCAGCAGGTTCTTCGTACTCCACCTTTTACTGACCTTACTCCTCCCCTCCTTTGTCCACCGCCTGACCAGTCGCAGCCGCCGTTACAGCCGGCCTCTCCACTGCCTGCTCCTTCTCCTTCTTCTTTTGAGTCTGCTACTGCGTCTGCTCTCGTTGCTGAGCTGCTTGACTTTGCTGCTGCGTGTCGTCTAGACTACGCCACTGCTCTTGTTGCTGAGTCTGCGTCTGCCAGTCCTCCGTCCGTCGGGGGTGAGTGTGCTCTTGGCACGAACGTCCTTGAGGACAGGCAGGAGGAATTTGAGTGTCTTGCAGCTGCTGTACCTTGTTTCGCTTCCATGCTGCTTGCCCCTGAGGGAGACCCGGATGCACCAGACATCCCGACCCCGCGCTCTTATGCAGAGGCGATTACGGGTCCTTACTCCTCTCAGTGGCAGGCAGCTATGGATGCCGAGATGGCATCCTGGAAGTCCACAGGCACCTACGTCGACGAGGTTCCCCCACCTGGGGCGAACATAATCGATGGCATGTGGATCTTCAGGGTGAAGCGGCCGCCGAGTTCTCCGCCTGCCTTCAAGGCGCGTTACGTTGCTAGAGGCTTCAGTCAGCGACAGGGAGTTGACTACTTCCAGACCTTCTCCCCCACCCCGAAGATGACTACTCTTCGGGTGTTTCTGCACGTCGCTGCTCAGCGTGACTACGAGTTGCACT